TTTGCCTACTGTACTATTGCTTCAGGAATTTAGGACTTTCTTAAGACTTGGTGGACTTAGTTTGAAGCCTACCTCATGAGTTGGGGAAGAAGGAAGCTGGAATAGAGAAGTGATCATTAAGAAAATGATGGTTGGAAGAATTGGTCAGGATAGGAGATGTGTGCTGAAAGGTAGATAAAGGACCAAAAGTGATGACCTCTCGGTATCTGTGTTGCAAACCATAATGCCCAAAAGTAGAGACAGTATGTGGGAAATTGTCTGCCATGGAGACAAGGGGGAAAGTGAAAGAGGAAGGTATACTGGGGAGATTGGTGGTAGGGAATGTGCACTGGTGGAGGAATGGGTGTTTGAACATTGTATGATTGTAACTCAAACATGAAAGCTTGTAACTGTTTCTCACAGTGATTCAATAAAATAAAATAAAGACTCGATGAACTCCCATCCTGTGGCATACTGGGCCATAGCAACAGGAACAGGTCAATCAATGTTTGCTTCCCACACCTCCCCAGTGCCTGACCTTAATTCACTTTGGAATTATCAGAGTACAGATCTCCAGAATAACTAGAAGAAATGGTACATCTATGACTCAGATAGTCATACCATGAATAGGCCAGTTCTGTGTAGCCAGACTTAAGATTATCAATCTAACCACGTGGTACTATAGCTAAAACTTACTAGTAAGTACTTTACCAATAATAACTTCATGTGGTGAGTCATCAAGCCAGATGTAAGAACATCTGATACTGCTGATTATGCTAAGTGCAGTGGCTCCAGGTACATTTGGATAAACTAATTACCTTTCCAATTCTCCTCTGGCATGTTTCTTTAACAAATGCATTAAGTTTGAATCATCAAACCATTATAAGGAAAAGCAAATGTATTGTCACATGACCCAAATGTAAACTTGGGGTTATGGAGAACAAGAGCCAATGTGGCACCCTGCCCATTAACTCCAGTCTCCAACAAACCCAGTTTTGCTCAAATCTACTGGAACACTCTCTCCACTCTGGCTATTACAACTTCTGTAGCTTGAAGACCAGTTTCAAAAGGACAGATGTACACCTCTGTCTGTGGTGACTCTGTACATGAGGTAAAACAACCTCACTTTATGCAGCCAATCACATGCTGATAAGATACAAAAATTTCTGAGAGTTGGTGGGCTCCACACCATGAAGCATGAATATTGAACCACGGAAACAGACTCAGTTTAATCTCCATTTACTTCACATCACCTCCCCAGTCTCTGCCCTGACTCCTCTTTGGAATTCTAAGTGCACAGTTTTCCAGAGATGGGAAGTAACTATAAGAAATGCTAACATCCATGTATCAGGCAGGCTTTACACATAAGTACCCAATGAATAGGCCAGCACTTTGGAGCCAGACATCAGATGAGCAATCTGTGCCTGAAGTGGCCCCACCAAGCCTTACTAGCAGGGTTGTCACCCATGATAACATTATGTGGTGAGCCTGATCCAGGAACACCTGATGAAATGGTTTTCTTCCCATGCTGTAGATCAGCATACCCTAGGGCAAACCAATTCCCTTTTGCATTTTCTTCTGGCTTGTTTCTTTAACAAGTGCACTCAGTTTGCATCCTCACACCTCAAAGAAAAGCTCATGTATTGTAGCATGACACATCATACATATGCATATACATATACAAACAATATCGTGAGGTCGTTGAGGTCAGGACCCAGTAGCACCCTGTCCACTAACTCTAGTTTTCAACAAACCTACTTTTGCTCAAATCTAAAATAGGGTCTCAGAGGTAAAATTTAAGCAAAATGCCGTAATCCTTTCAATACTGCCTGAGTGTTAGTAGAGGCTCACCTTCAAAAGACTCACCTTCTCCAGGATGCAGAACAGAGTTGTTTTGAAACACAAACTGCTATAAAATATCCTTGACCACTAGTGTGTGATGAACATGAAGAACTGGGCCAAGGATGAAGGGGAACAGAGGTACTGTAAAATATTTGAGTAGAATACAAAGATCAAATAAATGGGAAGCAATATAGAAGAAAAAGGGCAGGATCTGATTACATGGTGTTGCTAAGGGAGGTAACAGGATACACCAAAGCTCTAGTTGTCAATCTAAAAACATTTATCAAGTAAGGTATTTGTGCAAACTAAACAGTGCTCAGGGATTACACTTGGTGGTGCTGGATATTGTCCCTGAAGTGTATCACGTGCAGGCCCTACCCGCTGTACTACTCTATCCTGTCCCTCGAGAAATATTAAAAAGCCATTCTCCCTTCTCCCTTTATCCAACTACTGTGCGTAAAGTAGCTCTCAAACTTCCGTGCTACAGTCCTGAAAAACTAAAACTGAGCTGGTGGCAGATCTTGAGAGTGTGGGAAAGGCACTTCAAACCAGACCGTCCCAAAGAAGCAGCACTAAAGATACCTGTCAAAGACCAGCGTCTGAGCACAATCCTTTTTATTGTGGGTCAAAATGTTTTACCGAGGGGCCAAGGGGGTCACACTATCTGTCACAGACAGGTACCGTGGTCCCCAGCTATTGATAGGCTGTCTAGCTTGGCAGCTACATGCCAGCAGTCCAAATGTTGTCTCCACTCTCCAGGGCAGTATGTGTAGGCTGGAAGGTAAGGCTGGCCCTGGGACCACAAGAGATAAGAGGGGTCCACACCAATACTTTAAAGTCAGAACAAGGCAGGCTTCTGTCATTAAAGGTACCATTGTACCTTACTCTGACTTTTCCCATCAACTAAGGACCTGTAGGATCCTCAGCCAGACTGTTGCTACCAATTTCCCTTATCTATGTATACTTGTGGGCACAAGAGAGCAGGATCACTCAGCTCTTCCATAAACATTTCTCCTGACCAGAACCCAGTAGGCAATCTCTAACCAGCTCATGCTTCTGCCTGCTTGAGTACAAGACACAGATAAGTGTTCAGTGGCCTCAGTTATACAAGTGATGTGGCAAAGTGATATAGTTATATATTCAAAATACAGATTTAACAACACTGAACTCAAGAGGTCTAAACTACAACCACAAAACTTTAAAATGTTCCTTTTAAGGTGGCAGGTAGGTGGACGGGGAGGGTAAGGCAGGCAGTGGAGCATGGTAATAATAGTGGAGGGAAGTTGTTGCAATGCCAAATGCCATGGAAGTTCATCTTCCTTTTCCTAAAAGTTTGTTTTGAAAGAGTGTGCGTTTTACTTTTTTTGAGTTTAACAATATATTAAATTTAACACAAGATTTGCCCAATGTTATTTAAACATATAATCAAGACAAATAGTGTAACTGAAGCATCTTATGACTTTATGCTACTCCAGCCTCCAGATCTTGTTTGTATTTTGCATTCACAATCCATGACAATTCGTCATGGATGCTATATTTTCACTGGAAATACCTTGGTATTTTTGGCTTTAGGACCACAAGTAGCAGTAGCAGTGTTCAGTGCTTAATTCTTGTTCTATGTTCAAAGACCACCTGTCTGTTGGGGAATGTGGAAACATAGGGAGTGTCAAGGAATGAACCTGGGTTGGCTGCATGTAAGTACGTCCTGCTGTATTATTGCTCAGACCACTTGATATATTTCTTTCCCTGCCTTTCCTGTCTTTAAACACTGGAGTCAAGGGTGACCTAGGAACCCCCCTTTTACTAAAGTATATTTCCTCATCCAGTATTCAATAAACCACATTTAAGTGTGATCATCCTGGGTTTGTTTTTAACAAAGCAATCATGGGCCAGAAAAAAACAGCTCAAACTGTATCTCATGACGTTTTACTAATAAAAATTTAAAAAAAGTTTTGGAATATATGTCCTGCAGGTACTAGGCCACGGCAGGTGTGAAACAGGTAATCACGTGCACACAGAACCAGTTGAGCAAAGCATCTAGGCACTGCACTTGAATTACATTACCATCCCAGTACGGCAGGAAAGTTGAATTAATCCTAGGTGGAACCTCAAAAGACCTTGGGAGCACACCCTCAAGAAAAAGAAAAATGGCACAAAAGATGACCAGGAAAAATGGATAAATGTGACTCTTTCAGAAAATTATGAAGGAAATACGGTCAAGAAATACCTATGATACACATGGAACAATTTGTAGTACTTAAATATGAAAATAAATATATCTGGAGAGAGATAGTGCTTTCTCAAGGTCATAGATACATCTTAATAATCGTCCCAAAACTAGAATAGTAGCCACATTTTAGTTCTACTTCTGTTCTTCTCTGGACAGGTTAGGAGGCTGTGAAAAGATTATGATGCTCAGGGAAACCTGAGGCAACTCATCAGCATTGACAAACCTGATGATGATCTGGGTGGCCTCCAACAAGGCTGCCTGTGCAGCTCCTGGGCAGGAGCAGGGGCAGGGGATGTCCATCTGAAAATCTCTAGAAGGGTTGATACACCTAGGAGTCAGAGACCAGAAGGGATGCATCCTCTGAAACACAAGTGAAATTCACTTTGACAAGAACTTTGAAAAAGCAGAAACTTGATCAAAGAAGTGACTCTAAGGTGAAGCTGCTCAGAACCATTCAGATGCAGGTGTTTTTCTTGTTGCCCGGATCCTAGTTCACACCCAGCCCTTTCTGTCTGGGAAGTGGCTTTCTTGAAGCCATGTTTTGTACATCAATGCACAAGACTGCTTAGCCAACATGGACATTGCTTGCCAACACCCTGAAGTTAAATAAAATAGTAGCTGGGACACAGCAGTGTCAATTTATGTGGAGGTTTCAAATGAAGGTTGCCACACACACACACACACACACACACACAACGTGTAGATGAACATAGGCTCATATTACATGATGAGTGAATTGGCCAATTTGGAGGCAGGACATAATTATGCCACCTAGATCCTTCTTCTTGACTTCACCAAGAGCACTTTGATGCTGCTGTTTAAAATACCATAACTGCAGCAATGTCCCCACAGTTGCCTAAATGTCTGCCTTTACCAAAGGCAAATCCAGCACTTTAAGCCATGCCCCACCCCCCACCAGCACCTGTCACCCGTCAGTCATTATGTAGTCATGGTCAAGGGAATGGTGGACCTGATTGGTGGATGTGTTGCCAGACAGAAGGGCATTCCAATGTCACAGGTAACCTGGGGCTTTGTGAGAGGCCCCTCAGCCCACTCCCCCCCGCACAGTCTCCAGGGAGAGAGAGGCTTTGTGACATCAGAACGGAAGGGGCTATATAGGAAGGCCCGTGGACTCCACTGACGCCATTGGCCTTTGCGACCAGCTTCGCGAAGCTGCCTCGGAGATGGTTAAGCCCAACTCTGCGCCACATGCTGGCCTAGAGCAGGAGTCCCTGGCCCAGAGGCGGCGGCTCCAGCAGCAGCAGCAGCTTTCTTCAAGGAGTCTATCCCCTAGGCGCCCACTGCCACCAATGAGAAGACGGCGTCCTAGGCGCCGCTGCCGCCGCCACCACCGCGAATCGCACCACCGCGGCTACCACCGCGAAACCCACCGCTGCCTCCAGCAAGGTGAAACCCTGGGTTTTGCCAGTTATTTCTGCAGGATCCTGAGGAGCATCCACAGAAACCTGGGTATTACCTGCCAGGCCGTGTCCATTCTGGACTGCGTGGTGAAGGGCATCCTCCAACGTATACAGGAGGTGGCCGCACAACTGGCACGTTATGCGCAGCACTCTATCATCACCAAAAGAGACATCCAGATGGCGATGCGTCTGCTGCTGCCTGCCAGGCTGGGCAGCAGGTTCATGATGCAGGACAACAAAGCCACCAGCAGACGCACCAATCACCACTGAGCTGCCTTGGCACCCTCGTCCCAACGTGGTCAACGTTCACGATGGCTCTTTTCACAGCCACTTCAATGGTCACCAGAAGACCTGGACCTCTAATCACAGGGAAGGACTCTAAGTTGCCAGGACCCTTTGGCCCCTCGGTAAAATATTTTACCCACAATAAAAAAGGATTGTGCTCAGACGCTGGTCTTTGACGCTGTATCTTTAGTGTCTTTAGTGACCAATGATATTGGGATAATTGGTGGTGGAGAATGGGCACGGGTGGAGGGATAGGTACTCGATCGTTGTATGACTGAAATGTAAGCATGAAAGTTTCTAAGTCTGTAACTTCACCTCACAGTGATTCATTTAAAAATAAAAAAATAAGAAATAAAATTTTAAAAAATTTTTAAAAAAGAAGGTGAGCCTCTACCTACCCTCAGGCAGCATTGAAAGGATTTTGACATTTTGCTTAAATTTTACCTTTGGAACCCTATTTTAGATTTGAGCAAAAATTGGTTTGTTGGAAACTGGGGTTAGTGGACAGGGTGCTACTGGATCCCAGCCTCAATGACCTCATGAAATTGGTTAGATGTGTATGTATGTATATGTAAGATGTGTGCCATGCTACAATACATGAGCTTTTTTTTTTGAGGTGTGAGGATGCAAACTTAATGCACTTGTTAAAGAAACAAGTCAGAAGAAAATGCAAAAGGGAATTGGTTTGCCGTAGGGTATGTTGATCTAACAGAATGGGAAGAAAACCACCTCATCAGGTGTTCCTGGATCAGGCTCACCATGTGATGTTATTATGGGTGGCATACCTACTAGAAAGGCTTGGTGAGGCCACTCCAGGTGCAGATTTCTCATCTGATGTCTGGCTCCAATGTGCTTGCCTATTCATTGGGTGCTCTAGGTGTCAAGCCTGCCTGATACATGGATGTTAGCATTTCTTATAGTTACTCTTCATTTCTGGAAAACCGTGCTCTGAGAATTCCAAAGAGGAGTCAGGGCAGAGACTGGGGAGGTGATGTGAAGCAAATGGAGATTAAACTGAGCCTGTTTCCGTGGTTCAATATTCATGCTTCATGATGTGGATACCATCAAGTCTCAGAAATTCTTGTATCTTATCAGCATGTAATTGGCTGCATAAACTGAGGTCATTTTATCTCATGTACAGAGTCACCACAGACAGAGGTGTACATCTGTCCTTTTGATACTAGTCTTCATAATCAAACTACAGATGTTGGAATGGCCAGAATGGAGAGAAGGTTCCCATGTGGACAACCAGATGCAATGTGTGTGCACTATTTTATTTTTATTTTATTTTCTTAATTTTATTGAATCACCATGAGATAGTTACAAGCTTTCATGTTTGGGTTACACTCACACAATGATCAAACACCCATCCTTCCACCAGTGCACATTCCTCACCACTAATATCCCAGGTATACCCTGCATTTCCCACGCTCCCTCTGCCTCCATGGCAGACATTATCCCCAATAATCTCTCTTTTCTTGTAGGGATTAAGGTTTGCAATACAGACACTGAGAGGTTATCATGTTTGGTCCTTTATCTACTTTCTGCACACGTCTCCCATCCCGACCGATTCCTCCAGCCATCATTTTCTTCTCTATTCCAGCTGCTTTCTCCCCTTTGCTCATGAGGTAGGCTTCCAGCTATGGAGCAATCTATCTGTTCCATGTGTCTACTATCCTTAAGTGTCAGCCTCATGCTATGTTGTTTTATACTCCACAAATGAGTACAGTCCTTTTATGTCTTTCCCTCTCTTTCTGACTCATTTCACTTAGCATGATACTCTCCATGTCTATCCATTTATAAGCAAAGTTCATGACTTCATCTCTCCTGACAGCTGCATAGTATTCCATTGTGTAGATGTACCAAAGTTTCTTTAACCAGTCATCTGTTCTAGGGCACTTGAGTTGTTTCAAGATTTTGGCTAATATTTTAGAGGGTGAGGATTTTCCTAAGGCTAAGGTTGGTTCAGTTGAGAAACAATATTTAGAACACACTACAAGAGGACTAATGGTAGGACTAAAGAGTGCAGTCAGTACCAGTGTAGCGCCTGATGGCATTATAGAGCCTTAGATTAGAGGGATATTGCTTGTAGAGAGTGGTGTTTCTGCAGCATATTTTACAGTAGACAGTGTTTATTTTCCCCTTGTAGGGACTAAGTAGATTTTTTTTAGTTTTGGGTAGATCTTTATCACAGTGGAGGATTTTTTTCACCCATAGCAAAGGCAGTACTCAAGGAGTCTGCAAATTTTTGTTTGCAGCCATTAGCCAAATTCATAACTCCAGTGATCTTCTAATGATAATTAGAGGAAAGATAAGATTTTTGAGGACTGACTGTTCTCAAACTTGGAAATGGTCTTAGGAATGAAACTGAAAATATAACTTGCATCCCAAAGAGCCTGGTCAGTATAACCAGGAAAAGAACTGTAGCAAATCTTTCTGGGTGATTCCTCAAGACATTTGTATACGTCCAAAACTTATTATTAGTTGAGAAAAGCTCAGTGTAGATTCATCACATATCTAGGGTCAGATCTGTGGCCTATTTAAAAAACAGGACTTTACCAACTCAGGAAATTCATAGACTCCAAGCCATCATCACAAAAATCAGTAAGTGGGCTACTTTAAGATAATACAAGCCTCACAAACACGTCAAGCTCCTGCAGAAGATGGCATAAAACTTCAGAACTATAATCTCTCTCAATGTCAATGGGCTAAATCTCAGGCAGGCAAATATATAGGAAAAGGACCATAGCAATTGCATTTCAGAGAAGTAATAAATCCAATAACCCTGAAGCTACAAGAGTAAGGTTTAGACCTGGTAACATCTTCCTGATGTAAGTGACAGATCCTAAGAAGGTTGGAACCCACAGATAAACAAACTTCATCAAGTGACAGACTGCCATTAAGGACCTGAAGAAGATTTTCTGACACCTTAAGCACCCCCACTTCTGCCAGAGAAACTTGAAAAAGGCAACACCCCTCCTGCCCTTGGCACACAAACAACCCATGCAACAACCCATGCAGATCTGAGTGCTGGGATAAAATCTCAAATAATAATGGTGGGTCTGGTGTCAAAATATTGAATGTGATCAAAGTAGAGAGAGAGTAATGTGGAAATCATCTGCCCCACAGGTAGGGGAAGGGTGTGGGATGGGGGGATACTGGGGTTGTTGGGGGTGGAGAATGGGCACTGGTGAAAGTACGGGTGTTTCATTGTATGACCGAGACTTAGACCCAAAAGCTTTGTAACTGCTCTCACAGTGATTCAATAAATAAAATTATAAAAAATGAAAAATAAGTAAGGTGGAGTTCATACACAATTCAATCAGCTAATCAGTGGCTGAATAAATACCAGTATTCCTACATAAAAAACACCTTGGAGGAGCTACAGTGATAGTAGAGTGTGCAGCAGTTTCACTGCATTTAACCAACCTGGGAAAGAAAATTATGAGAGGTCATTTTACGCCCACTGTCACTGTCACTGTCACTCCCGTTGTTCATCAATTTGCTCGAGCAGGCCCAGTAACGTCTCCATTGTGACACTTGTTACTGTGTTTGGCATATCGAATACATCACGGCTAGCTTGCCAGGCTTTGCCTTGCGGACGAGATACTCTTGGAAGCTTTCCAGGCTCTCCGAGAGGGCGGAGGAATCAAACCTGGATCGGCCAGGTCGGCCTCGTGCAAGGCAAACACCCTACCCACTGTGCTATCACTCCAGCCCTTACACCCACCATGCTCACAAAATCTTTTTATTTAAAACACTTTTTGTTGAAGAACTGAGATTTACAAAGTTGTTGATAGATGTGTTTTACAAAGAAAATTTAAGTCCTGAAACACTAACATAATTGTAAATCATGATGCCAAAATAAAATAAAATAAAACTAAAAGGCTCCTGCACAACAAAAGAAACAATGATCAGTATAAAAAGACTCCCCATAGACTAGGAGAAAGAATTTGCCTAACACTCCTATAATAATAAAGGGTTAATATCCAAGATACATAAAGACACTGGTAGAACTTTATAAGAAAAATTAAAAACCAACCCATTAAAATATTGGGGGTAAAGAGGAATAGAAATTTGCTCAGAATAGAGCTGCAGATGGCCGAAAGGCATATGAAAACAATGTTCAGCATCAGATCATCAGAGAAATACAAATGAAAATGACAGTGAGATATGACCTCACACCAGGAAACTGGCATACATCTGATGAACAGAAACAACCAATGTTTGCAGGGATGTGGGAGGAAAAGAACCTCATTCACTTCTGGTGGGAATATAGAATGGTCCAGTCTTTTATGAATCAATATAGACATGTTCCATCAAATAGGACTTGATCTGCCATATAATAGAGCAATTCTAAATTTTGGTATTTATCCCAAAGGCCCAAATCACTCTCAAAAAAGACATTTGCACTCCTATATCGATTGCAGCACTATATGCAATAGCCAAAATCTGGAAGAGCCCAAGTGTCTGAAGAACAGATGACTAGATAAAAAACATAGTACATAGACAATTGAATACTATTCAGCTATAAGAACAAAATAAACTCATCCAATTAGTGGTTACATGGAGGGATCTGGAGAGTATCATGCTGATTGAAGTTAGTCAGGAGAGGGATAAAGACAGAATGATACTCTCATACGTCATGCCTTTAATCGGAAGCATATCATTGTATGGGGAATAGAGAGATGGGGGAGGGGTCGAGGAGGGGACGTTGGGACATGGTGGAGGAAAGCTGACACTCTGGCAAAGGATATGGTTTTGGAATATCTTTTGTATGAATCCCTACCACTTATATTGTATTGTAAATCATTGTCCCTAAAATAAAATTAAAATAAATCTGAAAGTGTGGCAATATGAGAGAGGGGGTGGGATTGAGGGAGGGAAAATGGGGACACTGATTGCAGGAAACGTACACTGGTTAAGGAATGGGTGTTGGACATGACTGAAACCCCACCATGAACATCTTTAACTGTGTATCTCAA